GTGTGCGTAGGAATTTGTTCATAGTTTTTTTTAAAACTATAGTCCAGCCCTCCAACGGCCTGAGGGACAGTGAACTGGCCCCCCATTTAAAAAGTTTGAGGACCCCTGCTTTACACACACAGCTTGTTTCTTATTCTTCCTGATTTTATTTTTTTTTTAATATTTATTTTATTTTATTTTTTAAACATATTTTTATTGATTTCAAAGAGGGAGAGGGAGAGAGAAACATCAGTGATGAGAGAGGCTCATGGACCCGCTGCCTCCGGTGCGCCCCCCACTGGGCATGTGCCCTGAGCGGGAATGGAACCGTGACCTTCTGGATCATCGGCCAACGCTCAGCCCCCGAGCCCCGCTGGCCGGCCGTGACCTGGTTTTAGGGACAGATTCCCGAAGCGCGGCCTGCAGTGCCCTCTGTGCTAGAAGGCTGCTCGCGACCCCCTGCCTGCGCCCCAGCCCTGCCCTCCGGCGCCTGGACTCCGCGTGTGCCTTCAGCTCCCAGGTGGCTTCTGCGCGGCCCCGGTCTGGTCTCCGTGCTGCCAGGTTCTGACACCTGGTGGGTGCTCGGCTCCCGTGACCCAGGGCAGGTCCGGGCTGTGTGGCTCCATCGACGACACTGGGTGTTTCCCTCCAGCAGCCTCTCTTCCCGTCAAGCCTCCGGGACCCGCAGCACCCAGGTGGGTGTCTCCCAGCACGGAGTTCCCAGGCGGGACTTCCTGGTGACTCGGTGGCTGACTCACGGGATCTCCCATCTGACCTGTATTCCTGGAGGGCAGCCCCCCCTTGGGTCAGGTCCCCCTGATTCCCCACCACTGGGTCCGGCTGGGCCGCGTGTGTCCATCTCGACACACTCCTTCCCAGACCTTTCTCCTCCGGGTCTTCCCTTCCCTTCCCTGCTCTGCCCTGCCCTGCCCTTCCTTTCCTTCTTTCTTTCTTTTTTAAAAATATATTTTATTGATTTTTTACAGAGAGGAAGGGAGAGGGATAGGGAGTTAGAAACATCGATGAGAGAGAAACATCGATCAGCTGCCTCCTGCACACTCCCCACTGGGGATGAGCCCGCAACCAAGGTACATGGTCTTGGCCGGAATCCAACCTGGGACCCTTCAGTCCGCAGGCCGATGCCCTATCCACTGAGCCAAACCGGTCAGGGCTGTTTTCTTTCTTTTAACCCTCACCTGAGCCCCCCCCCCCCCCATGGGAGGGGGGAGGCAGGACCGTCAGGCACTCAGCCCCCAGGTCCCTGAGTGCCTTCCACATGGAGCAGCGCCCCCCTGTCTTCTGGTTTCCTGCCTTTGACTTCGGAGGAGCGCAGGCCACTTAACTTGGGGGGTCGCTGAGTGTGGGTTTGGCTGGCCTTTCTCCACCGTGAGATCCAGGACGGCTGGCTCCTGGCGGTTGCTGCCCTCCGCACACAGGAGGCCTCCCCGAAACCACAGGAAACACCTGGGGCGGGCCCACAGTTCCCAGACACCAACCCCGATAAGAGCGGTTTTGAGAAGCACGTCCATCCATCCGTCCATCTGCACTGCCTCCAGTGGCAGGCGCTGGGCAACCTGGATGTGCCTGAAGCCCAGGCCCAAGCCGACAGCCCAGCACAGACACGTGTGAAGTGAGAGGCAGAAAGGGATGCGTTCAGTTTCCAAGAAGCAAAAAGTATGAAGAGAGGCCAGGCTCCCGAACTATATATATATATTTTTAAATATATTTTATTGATTTTCTACAGAGAAGAAGGGAGAGGGATAGAGAGTTAGAAATATCGATGAGAGAGATCAATCAGCTCCTCCTGCATG